ATTGGTAATGCTCGATCTGACGACCGTGCATCTGGACGATGCTCTGCAGTTTAGTTTTCAGTGCAAAAAACTTTGTCTAAGGCTGTCATGTCTTAAGCACAACCTTCTTGTCTGCTTACTTTTCATAAGCCATTTAGTACATCAGGATGATGGTTTCACAATGCTTCTTTCAACAGTCCAGTCACAAAGAAATTTATAGATACTGTATCTGCCAACTTGACAGTATGTCTTTGCATAGAATAGCATGAATACCCATTTTATCTTCCAGCCGCTCGAAGAATGTGGCAGTTGAACAAATATATTATTGAGGCACATGACTTGTGCTGCTTTTCCAGATGGAGATCCTTCCTGATTTTTGTAGCTTTTGCCACTGACATTTGTGTTTATGAATTCTCACTTGTTAAAAGATTTAGAATTTACAAGAAGAGTATGTCCCTTATACTTAATTGCATTAGAAAACAAAGGAATATGTATGAACTTGGGGCACCAGAACCGTACAGAAAGAGACCTATAAGTCATACTCCAATGGTCAGCAAAGGCTGTTACATACCTTTGCTAAAAACAATAAATTTTCAGTGGTACTACACAACCTACAGAACACCAAACATTGTCAAAATGTAGTTTGATACATTCTGTTTGATTGCAAATTTATATTGGCTGATTTGCCTATTCAAAATCGTTTTATTTTAATGCACTCAACTGTTTGTATATACCTTTTCTGATAGAAATCGATGGTGAATTGTTCCAGATGTATGGTAAACAAAATAAAAGTAGTATCAAAGTTATGTGAAGCTTTGTTTATATAATTAAGAATTTAAAACCAAATAGTAGAATATTAGAAGTATATGGTAAACCAAAAGATCACAAATCTGACATGCAACTCATGCCAATAATATTGACTTGCAATGCTCTAATTGAAACCATGTCACGGATCCTAGAAACACTCTCATTAATCAATTATGTACCTCCACACATATAAAGTGCCTACTATTTCATTCAACGAATAAGAAGAAATTGTGGAGTCATTTTTGCAGCTCTGGATTAACATACAGAATCTTACAGGCTAGAGCATATGCCTCTATACATCAGATGACCCCACATATTACAGGTGCTCCCAATTATGCCCAAACGTAAAATAAACTTACAGATATATAATAAGAGAAATTTTAGTTTCATCCTATTTGTATTTAACTTTGGCAATGTCACGGTAGTTGCATGTTAATTATTACTGTAACATTTCTTCAGGTTTCAATAAATATATAAATAAATGAATAAATCTGGTTTGTAGTCCTAGTTTTTCTTGCACAACTTAATTTAAAATTGGAGGGGGCAAAAAAGATAGATACTGTTTACCATGTATCATTTAAAATCTTGGCTTTATAAAAATGTTCTTTAAGTAATACTGCATGCATAACAAATGCATTTTGCTCACATATAAATATTCTGCTGTTTGAACATATGCTAGTAAGTTTATACAGTTACAATGAAGGATTTTACATTTTGTCCAAAATATCACTGAAATACTTATTAATTTCTATGTTTCAAAGTCATGCAAGTTCCTTTTCTTTTTAAGTTGGGATATTATACCAAGGTAGGGATAGTATATACTTTGTGGAAACATGAGAACCACTGGAACACATAAAATTTCACAACATGATCTATTACCCCACATGTATGAAAAAACCTTAGTGTTTGTGATCTATGCTTATACACTTATATATTTTAGTCTCAATGAAGCAGAACAATGTTTTGATTAAACTGGTAGTTTATGTGATATGGGACTAGGCATAGCCTAGTGGTTGTTATGTCAAGATGCAAGTTGAAATGTCCAAGGTTAAAGTCCCAACACTCCACACTTTCAGCCATGAGCATGCTATAAAATGTAATCAATCCATTTGGTTAATAGTAGCCATGTAAATAGTGAGTGCTGCTGACTGGTTTCATTCCCTCTTGTTCGCAGTTCAAAATTAGATAGCACTATGCTTGAACCTTGGAATTCAGGCTGTTTAGCTCATATACTAACATGCTAAAAATTATCCAGTTCAACACAAAATCTTCCAAACATTTTTATATTGTTTGTTTATGTATATATATAAATGTTTTTCCGGTGAAACCTTCTATCAAAACCAGCTGTCGACAATTCTAAGGTGAATACCATTAATCTTCTTTCCACTCAATACGTTTTGCTCATTTTATCATTATAACACAATCTTTACAATGTCATCCAAATCTGGAAAATATGTTTCTGTTTACACATAGCTTTACAAATTAAAAAAAACATTGTTTAGAATGCCTATTTAATGAAATGTACTTCATTTAAGACTGACGGAATAGCTTTTAATATTTTGATTTAATGCATAAAGTTTATTCAGAGTACTATCTTTGAAATTTTTCAGTCTTACAAAGAGATAGGTGTTTAGTACAGAATAAAGTGTTTTGTTTACTTCAAAATAGTTTCATGGGAAAGTCATATTTTTGTTTTTGTTTATTAATCACATATTTGAATTTATTAGGCAGGAGTTCCTTAGACTTTACTACCAAACTAACATATTAATACAGTATGAGAAAAGGCTTAAAATAAATTTGTTTCAAATCTCTTGTATCTTCTCAGTCATACCATAAAATAACAATTAATTACTGGTTCTAATCAATCATCACACTTTGATGAATTAGCATATCTCATTATTAGTAAGTCCATTTGGTAAAATACCTAGATGTTACTGACAATTGCTTAAGAGTTTTATTAAGTGCCACTACAATATTATTTTTATCACTGTAATTTCAATTAATTTTTTAGACAAAAGAAGTCAGTGATAACTGTGTTATATAAAACATCCTTTTATACTTAGAATCAAAGTTATAAGAAAGATCCTCCATTGAACATAAATAACATCTGTACCATAAGCTATATCCCATAAACCAGATGTACAGAAATTCCAGACTAAATAATTTTATAGGTTTGTTTTCAAAATACTACCACTGGTATGATAGTTTATTGTTATAAGAGTGACATAAAATTCCAAATCTTGATCTGTTTAGTAATCATGTGCTAAAACAAAGTATGAAAACTTGATAAATTAAAATTATCTCACTAAAAGTCTTAAAACAAATAACAAATCTTACTATATTATAATTTTATGATATACAGCACCAAACATGGAACTGAATATAAAAAAATAGAATTATGCATTATAAATATAAGACCTCAAATGTCAATGCATTAGACTGTTTGAATTATACAGCACTGAAACAAGTTAATGAATCTCTCAAAATCAAAATTGAATTTAAACACACCAACACAATAATAGACTGTAGCACTACTTCAATATTATGTGTATTTAAATGTAATTTATTAAGATTTAGACAAGAAAGTAAAATATTAGATCCTATACAGGTAATGTATTATAATCACATCTTAAAAGTAAAGAAATCTATACAAAGTTTCAACTGCCAATTACATTTTATTATTACTCATTTAATTGTGTTTATGCACATTAAATCTGATTATTACACTTTACAGCATTTGTATAATAAGCATTTACAAATCTAGGATTTAAATGTTACACAATTCTCAAATATTACAAAAAGTAGGTTTTCTGTGAGCTAGAATAATGGTGATTCTTGACATACTTCAAAATATTTTCTCTGATCATTATCCAAGTTTTAAATGTCTAAGTTGAAAGTGATGATGATTTGAAATGCTAGATGAGCTTCTTATGACACCTTAACTATCAAATAAATACTAAATGTTATTTAAATATCAGGTATTCTATAAGAAATAAATTAAATGTAAACTGAGCAACTGTTGGTAAGTTATCTACTGGGCTTTTGAGACATTTTTCATCAAGAATACTTGATTTAATGACAGTCTCATCTTTTAGGCACAGAAATAATAAAGATGATTTCTTCTATAGTTGCAATTACTTTTCACCTACACCATAAAAAATACAGAGAATAAAGATATTTCAGCAAAACTGAATATTTAAACAATCAATGTTTTTTTCTTCATAAAGAAAAACCACCTTTACCTACAGAAAGGTTTATTTTAGTGGCTCAACAATTGTGGTTTGTGTTTCTCAAGAGATCCATTCACAGTATCAAACAATAGAAATATTTGAAAGTTTTTATGGAGAGTAGAGCTCCTCATGAAAGTTTAAAGCTGAAATATTCTATAGCCAATACAATAATCTGACATTTCTTTAAAGTTACAGGATGTTCTATTTATCAAGAAAAAGAAAACAAAATATAAGTTTCATTTCAGTCACTACTATATAATATATTTATAAAAATCGATGATGCTATCCAAAATAAAGCAAACAGTTTAACCCATTTACAAGGCATAATTATTACTTTATGTCATTTGACAAGTAAATATAATTTTCCCGGTGAATTATTTAAATTACCTGACAAGTAACTTAATTCACTTAGTTAACAGTTTTGCTCATGTACTTTTGAATAAGCATAATCTAAAGATGTAGTTTGATGAATTTACAAAAGCTTAATATATTCAAAAATATTAATGTTTAAAAATTTTAACAACAGTGGTGGTTAAGAATTTAAAAATTAAAAAAATAAACACTACCACGAGGAATAAATTAAAAAGTCTGACATTTGAAAGTACCTACAAATTGCTGTACTGTAAAAGATAAAATGTCACATATCTAATTCATACTTTTAATAAAAGATTATGTCACAACACATGTGAAATCATTTGACCTTTATCCAACAATATTGTATGAATTACTCATATGTATAATATTTAAATTTTTTTTTAATTTTACACTAAAATATATATCCAAGCTACAAATACAAAAAAGAAAATGAATGAACTTCTCAGTGTGCACCTAGAACCACCATGTTCAGAATATATCATGTCCATAACATTTAATGATCTCATTACAAATTAGGGTATAAAATTGTAATTTAGAAAATAAAATATAAAAACTAATACATATGTGAAGAAAAAAGAAATTAAATAATTAATAAACAAATCTGGCAACAAACAAAAGCTGATATTAAAACAAGAAACATCTGTCATATCAAAAATGTGCAAAAAAATTAAATGTTTGAAATACTGAAGGCAGTGACATCCCTATTATGAGACAACTGATCATTACACAATCCACTTCTTAATATTAAAGCTCTAAAATTAGAGTAGTCTCAAAAAATTCTTTCTTTCTAAATAACCTAAATGATCTTTCATGCACGTATAAACAGGAAGCCAAAGCACAACTTTATCAAAAATAGCATTTTCTTAAATTAAAGACTTTGTTTTCAAGTACCTTAAAAATGTTTTTTTTATCCACAGTATTTATATTCAAAATCTGTTATTTGTGTGGAGTTGCTCTACCTCGGGAATGAGGACCTGCAAAGGAAAATATAGCAGGATATTTCAAAAACTCGTAATACTAAATTATTCCACTAGAAAGCTTACCAAGGTGAGAGTAACTGAGATTTGAGTTTATATGATGAAAGTTTATTAATTTCATCTCTTCTTATTGTGTTCCTTGTGGCAGTTGCACAATGTTTTATGCACAAAGCTTATCTACCGTAGCCTCAAACATGATGTCAATGAAAGAATTTGTAAACAATACAAGAATGTCAAAAAATCAGAATCTCATTTTTAAAATTAAAGAAATAATTTAGTCTTGACTGTGGCATAATTAGTTAATTGGGAATACTCATGGTTCAAAATATTTACTGTTTTCTAAGTAAAAATGTACTAACATTAATGATTAAAGGTAATGATAATTATCGTATTTTTCATAATTACTGAAAATTTCATTTTTAGAAATATACAACATTATCCACAGTAATTCAGCTTGAAAAATAACAAATGATTTACATATTTGGCCCAATGGTGACTTAATGGTAAGCTTGAAGGCTTATGATGCAAAAAATTGGAGTTTGATACCCATGGTGACATAGTGTAGATAACTCATTTTATAGCTTTGCCATAAAGTCAATATGCAATTCAGACTCCCCAGACAAAGGTCTATCTAACAATATGAGATTTGTAATATTTGATAAAGAAATTTGCAAGAAAAGTTCAGGATAGAAAAATGCAAGCATATTATTTATATAGATTAATCTGAAAAAGAGACTAATTTGTTAAGCAGTGTCGCTGATTCTAATCCTGTCCAGTATCAGTTTTCACTTTCTCAGATTAATTTGAAATAGTCAAAATGGTATCATTCCTCTTATTAAGTTTAGAGATGGTTATATTTTTTAAATGCTTTAAATCTTTTTGCTTATATTAAGTGAAATTGAAAAGAAAAATCTAAAAACAAATATAAGTTAATCCAGAAATTTTAGTAAGTATTGTATAAAATCATCTTTTGGAAAAATCATTCACTAGTTATATTAACAAATCAAAGTTTGCTGATCAAAAACTGACAGTTCTTAAAATTTTGGCATACTTGTCTACGTAACAAAACAAAAGTACCATGTTAAAGCATTATTTTCATTGTTATAATTTGCACTTCATTTCATGAAGTATATAAAATATCTAGTTTTTTTTTCTATGTAAATTCTGAATTACAAAAAATATAGTTTTTTACAAATGAAACAAGTATCCAATAAAGTGAATAAATGCAATTAATAAGTATCTATAAAAAACTACATTTCTCCAGTGAACTGGATCAAATCACCAGAATGTCATGTTTCTCAGCTTTTTCCTCATCTGGGTTATCCAGCCAATAGCTCACAATAGAAATTAACTAAGATTTGAAATGGACACATCTTCAAAGTAAAATTTTTTATATAATTTTCTTAAATTATAGTTTTATACTACAATAAGCAAACGTACCCATCCCCAGTGGCAGGTAAAGTTTAAGTTAATCTATCAATTTAAATTATTTCATGGATTAGTGTAATAGCTGCCAAAGTAGGGATTAAATTTTATACATTTTTGATTGGGGTTTTAATTCTTGTTTCATTACTTTTTGTAGCAGGATCCCTACTTCATTGTAAAATTCATAATTTTTAATGCTCTTGTTTGTTGACTTTTTAATATTATACCTGTATAAAGTACATACTTTACCTTTAGAAATTGTTTATTCATTAATATGTAGCGCTATTTGTTGGGTTGAATTGGATTAAAAAGATATTTTAATACGTGCATGATATGTTTACCATTTATAAAAAAAATCTGTATATATTTATCAGAATATCAAAAGCGGATACCCACAGACCAGTCAAGTAAGCTGAATAAATCTTGTACTGATAGTCCAAGCCGTCTAGGGGCTAGCCCCGCTGACATGATCAGGTAGGTAGTAAACAAAAAAGTTGCTGTTATAGAAATTTTGAATTGTTATACCAGAAATTTTAGTGACCTTTTTAGCTTATTATTAGTATACATGTGCATAATACAGAATAACCAATACTTTGAATGGTTGGTTTTTCACTTAGAAATTCAATAGGGTGGTTTTTCAGCACATATATTATTTGGAAACCTTGTTAATCCCTACTATTATTAAGTACTCTAAAAATTGCTATCATACTTCTTTTTTTTTCTGTTAAAGTATAATGAATGGTTTGTAAAAGGTATATTTTCTGATGCCCATTA